TATCAGTCGCCTGATAGATTTTGACGATTGGCAAATCACGCATGATCTTTTTCTAAGTTTGGAGGAGTTATGGGGCCCACATACAGTTGACTGTTTTGCCAATTATTATACAGCTAAGCTTCCTAGATTCTTTTCGCGTTTCTGGAATCCGGGTACGTCAGGAATTGACTTCTTTGCCCAAGAGTTAAGTTCCGAGAACTGTTTAGTGGTTCCTCCAGTTTCTCTTGTCGCTCGCGTTATCCATTATCTGAGCCTACAGAAAGCAATGGCTACTCTTGTAGTCCCATTATGGCCTTCGTCGAGTTTTTGGCCTCTTCTGACTAGTAAATATCGGTTGTTCATGAAAGGATGTTTTACGCTGAATGCATACCGAGCTCTCACCCTGGGAAGAAATTTAAGTTCATTCCTTGGTTCGCCTCGTTTTACAGGCGAGGTTGTCGCGCTTAGCTTTAAATTTTTGTAAGGATTATCCAACCTTTATTGCCCTTCGAGTAGGTCATTCTGAACCAGCTTTTAGTACTGGTATTTGCAGGATTTGACACTGGTCATTAATAGCATGGACAGCTGTGTCCAGAGTATATGACACTGGTCATGTAAAGGGACGACTGCGTCAGTCGGAGAAGGTTTCTGTCGTTTTGGATTTTTGTTAGTAGAACGAGTTTTCGAGTTCTCTCGACAATGAGAGACCTGTTCACGTATGGAAATTGTGACACTGGTTTGCGAATCGTAACTCAACCTGCTATTCTGGCCAAGGTTTTTCACAAGGTTGAGCTGCGTTATTCTTGTTGGTTTAGGTTATTTACCTTTCTTATCAAGGCTGTAACTTTTTGTTTTTTCTGATTGTTAGGTTATTTAAGTGTTCGAGCTGACTGTGTCCTAGATGTCGTTTATGGGGCCTTTTTGGGGGATTTAAATGATCTGCTAGAGCAAGTCGCGTTTAGGATATATATGCCGTTTTTACGCGTTTGTTATTAGTTTTCTTTGTAGGTTTTTCGCTATGGCTTTGTTTAGGAGCTACTTTGCATGCCTATTTTATCCCGGGGAGGTCGCTGTGGTTTCTTTCTATTATGCTGCCTGCGGACATTGCGTCATAGGCATGGGGCTTTTTATTAGAATCGCTATCATCGCTTGTGTTGCATTTCCTAAAGCCGCTATCCTGTTGTTGCAAAATTTTGGTGATATAAATTTTTTCTTGCAGGTCGTAGTTGCAAGTAAGGCATGGATGGTGCTCCCTCCTCCTATTAGGCCGGATTTTCATTCTTTATTTAGTAGTTTACTTTTTTCTAGGGCGGACTCTACTGCGAAGAAGTATCTTAAGGAAATAAACAAGTTT